ACAGCCTATTGATCTACAACCCACATAAATGAAAACTACCTGGGGTCCTCATTAAGTTTTTTTTTGTTTGTTTTTTTGTTTTTTGAGACAGAGTCTCACTCTGTTGCCCAGGCTAGAGTGAGTGCCGTGGCGTCAGCCTAGCTCACAGCAACCTCAAACTCCTGGGCTCAAGCGATCCTTCTGCCTCAGCCTCCCGAGTAGCTGGGACTACAGGCATGCACCACCATGCCTGGCTAATTTTTTCCATATATTTTTAGTTGGCCAATTAATTTCTTTCTATTTATAGTAGAGACGGGGTCTCGCTCTTGCTCAGGCTGGTCTTGAATTCCCGAGCTTGAGCAATCCACCTACCTCAGCCTCCCAGAGTGCTAGGATTGCAGGCGTGAGCCACCGCGCCCGGCCCTCATTAAGAGTGTAAATGGGTCCTGAGTTCAAGAAATTTGAGGACCACTTGTTTGATGTGTTATTATGGGGTCTTTTCACTCAGAAAAGTTGATGAGGTTTACCCACATGGATGCTTGCAGTTGTACTTCCTGCACTTTCACTGAGCGGCAGTCCACTCAGTGACTGTGTGACCGTCCACCCGCGTGTGCTCACGCAGAAGGGCACTGCTGGGCATGCGTGTGTCTCCAGTCTCCTGCCATGGGGTGCGGCCCGTCCCGCCGCTCGCTCTCATCAGGCGTGTTGCTGGCGCGTCCTGCCAGGCTGCTGGCACCTGCTCTGCCAGCTGCACGGGCGCCGTCAGCTCTGGGCATGGGGCTAGGCAGGGGCCAGCAGCCTCGCTGAGCACAGAGGACCCGTGAGCAGCCTGTGCTCCTCCCCACATCTGGGCACACCGGCTCTGCACTGAGGTGCTTTGGACTCAGCAGTGCCCAAAGCTTCTGTGGCAGCTTATGGCCACAGATTCTCAGGAGAGACCCTTGGATGCCCTGGTTTATGGAGCCATCTCAAATCTGACGCCGCTCTTCGCGTCAGCCTGAGACTGTGCCCCGTTTCCCGGCACCTGTCAAAGCTGCAGCCTGGACACAGAGGCCCCGGGCAGCTGCCAGCCTCAGGGTTTGCTGTCCTCTCTGGATTCTGACTCCACAAACATTTTGGCCTCTGAGGATTTCCCTTTCTTGAAGCTCAGTTAGATATGTAAAAAGATGCTGTGGTATTTTGCTTTACATTTTTAGGTGCTTTATACTGGGAGGGTTTTCAAGATATATAATCTATTTCCCCAGAAACCTCATTCTCTCTTCATCCTCCTCTTCACTCTGTCTCTTTGCCATTCCCAGTCTCCGCATTCACACAGACACACGCGCACACCCTCCCTGCTTTGCTGCCCCAGCAGCTTGTCTGGCCTCCAGGAACAGGGACAGTGAGTACTCACCAGGTTGACGCTGTGTATTTCGCAGGGTCTTAGCTACTCACTGGCCAAAGCCTGCTCCTCAGAATTATTTGCTTTCAATCACACAGCCCACGTTCACAGAGATACTAAGTTTCCTTGAATACTTATAAGAATCCCTTTGAGGGTAGTGGATCCAGGTGTCAGGAGCATGCAAAGGGTGTGTTCAGAAAGCAGGCAAGGCACCAGCAATGTAGGGCACGTGCTCTCACAGGTGAAAAGCCCACCCAGTAGCCATTTAGATGACCATGATTTTGCTTACCGGAGTCCACTTCTGTCCTTTTTCCAAGATCATGAAATGCGTGTTGTCTCCTAGGGTCTGGAAGAACTCTTCTGTGTCTACCACGGTGCCATCTTCCTCCAGGACCAGAGTGACCAGTCCAGCAGTGATGACCAGGACATCCAGAGTCTAGGTTTGCAAGGTGTTAGAGAAATGGAATGAAGTGTGACATTTCCACTGGACTGTCCAACAGCATGTCCTAAGTTATGGTTTTTAGAAGTGTTAGCTGATTTTGATAAAATTTCAATGGTAAAAATATACCTTGATTGGTATCTACGACTCAGTCTTTGCTTGGAAAAAGGGGATTTTTGTTGTTGTTGTTTTTTTTTTTTTTTTTTTTTGAGAGATACCAGCATTTGTTGTTGGGGACTTTTGATAAAGGCCATTCTCACTGGAGTAAGTGATATCTCATTGCAGTTTTGATTTGCATTTCCCTGATGATTAGAGATGTTGAACATTTTTTCATATGTTTATTGGCCATTATTCTGTCTTGTTTTTAGAAGTTTCTGTTCATGTCCTTTGCCCATTTTTTGATAGGGCTCTTTGGTTTTTTCTTGCTGATTTTCCAGAGTTCTAAATAGATTCTAGTTATCAGCCCTTTATCAGATGTGTAGCTTGTAAAAATTTCTCCCCATTCTGTGGTTGTCTGTTTGCTCTCTTGACAGTTTCTTTGGCTGTGCGGAAGCTTTTTAATTTCATCAGGTCCCATTTGTATATTTTTGTTGCTGTTGTGATTGCCTTTGGGGTCTTCTTCATAAATTCTTTGCCTAGGCCAATGTCTAGAAGAGTATTTCCAACGTTTTCCTCTAGCATTCTAATAGTTTCACACCTAAGGTTCAAGTCTGTTACCCAGCGTGAGTTGATTTTTGTGAGAGGTGAACGGTGTGGGTCTTGTTTCAGTCTTCTACATGTGGCTATCCAGTTTTCCCAGCACCATTTATTAAATAAGGATTCTTTTCCTCAGTGTATGTTTTTTTCTGCTTTCTCGAAGATTAGTTGGCTATATGAGGATGGTTTTATATGTGGTTAAAGATATAAAACCTGGTTAAAGATATAAAACAGTCTATTCTGTTCCACTGGTCAATGTCCCTGTTCTTATACCAATAAAAAGCTGTTTTAGGCCGGGCGCGGTGGCTCACGCCTGTAATCCTAGCACTCTGGGAGGCCGAGGCGGGCGGATTGCTCAAGGTCAGGAGTTCAAAACCAGCCTGAGCGAGACCCCGTCTCTACCATAAAAATAGAAAGAAATTAATTGGCCAACTAATGTATATATATAAAAAATGCCGGGCATGGTGGCTTGTGCCTGTAGTCCCAGCTACTCGGGAGGCTGAGGCAGGAGGATGCTTGAGCCCAGGAGTTTGAGGTTGCTGTGAGCTAGGCTGACCCACGGCACTCACTCTAGCCTAGGCAAGAAAGTGGAGACTCTGTCTCAAA